CGATCAATATTTCATATATGTAATTTCTTTTTTAACAAATAGTTGAAATAATGATTAAAATAATAAATAATTAATTTTATATTATCCCGAATATTATTTACAAAAAAAACTATAAATCAAAAAATTATTTATTTCTTAAATTAACTTATTTCTTCCTCTCAAAATTAATAATTATATTCAAGATTTTTGAAAAATACTTTATTATTAAATGTTTTTATTTTATTTTTATAGATAAACGAGCAGATGTATTACAAAAAGTGGAAGTTCGCGTAATCGAGAACAATATATGTCGCGAATGGTATGCCAGTCAAGGAAAGTCAACCCGTGTAGAATCAAAGCAAATGTGTGCCGGCCATGAAGAAGGTGGTCGCGATTCTTGTTGGGTAAGTAAAATCTTCTCGTATCATTTATCTAATTTATTTATACGTTTTACAAATATTTCTGTTTCTTTTTCTATCGATCTTCTTTTCATTCATGCGAACTAGTTCGACAGAATACATTGCTCATTCGCACACAAAATTCATGCTTTATTGAACAACGGCAATATGAATTTCAATCAAATATCCGATTGCTTTGATGAGTATATTGAATTAACAACCAGAAATTGAATTTTAGTCTTCAAACCGAATTATTCGATCACAAAACATTCAATAGAATGGTAAAAAAATGATGAAGGATTAAAAATTCATCAAAAAATATATTGATATTGCGGTTTGATATAATGTAATTATTATAATTGGCAATTGTGGAATATTTCATTATTTCCAATTCGATATATTTTATCGCGAATTTATGATTCTGTTCTTGAATCACTTGATGACTATCTTCTATTTTGAATAGTTTTGCATTGTTTTATTTGTTTCGTTTCTATATTAATCGTATGATATATATATATCACATGATGTGTATAATATGTGATATATGTATAATATACATATAATATAAAATAATAATATAAAATAAAATATTATATATAATATATATTAAGATATATTAAGATATATTAAGATATTAATATATTTTATAAAAAATAAATTTGATGAAAATGATTAAATTAAAAAAATATAAGTAATATCAATTGTAATTTGTATCTTTTATAAAAATTTTATAAAAATATCAAAATAATTGCATATTTGATATTTTTCTTTAGGGTGATAGTGGTGGGCCGCTGATGATCGCAAGTCATCTTAATGGTAATGTAATGGTTGTAGGAATAGTTTCATCCGGAGTAGGATGTGCACGGCCACGACTTCCGGGTGTATATACTCGAGTTTCAGAATATATATCTTGGATTACGCAACATATCTTATGATGAAATAAAATCTAAAATATTTATATTTCATTTACTTTAATATTTTATTTTTTAGAAGCTTCACTTTACTTCACAAAATTTGAATCTATATAGATTTCGAAAAAATGTTTTCTTTAAATATTTAAAAACTCATAAGAAAAAAGAATTATAGGTCTAATGAAGAATTCTTTTTTTGTGAAAAATTTTAAAAATCAATTAAATTCCAATATATGTTTCAATTAATAATAAATTATAACTTAATACTATTGTAGTAAAAAATTTGCTAATTAAGAAATTAAGCAAGATAATCACAGTAAAGTATAAGTAATTTATAAAATTTCTTTTTATCTAGTCAATTTTCTACTATTATATATATGCTATATATATATGTTATATTTTTATACTATATGCTTTATGTTATATATGCTACAGTACAAAATGTATATACATATATATGTTGTTACATATTTTATCATAAACTAATTATAAGATAAACTATTATAATTTAATAATATAATTAATATATAATTATATAAAAAAAGATATATTTTACATATAATATAAATTAAACTATTGAATATATCATATATTTTTATTACTTATATTCTTTTTTGTTTTCTTGGTCTTAGAGGATTCCATGATACTCTAGTATCATCTGTGATAGAAACAATATTTAATTCTGTTAGCTGCAAACCTTTNGACTGTTTTGATACCATGATTAAGAATACGCTAAAATAATATAAACAAATAATATAATTACAATTGATAATACAATTTATAAAAATTTTGAATAAATATGTATTAAAAAATTTTCTTACTGTTCCAAATGTAATTGCAGCTTGTTGTGCCGCAATATTAGTACCTTTCTTTGTATTTTTAAAACCTTCAAGTCCAGCAGAATGTAACATCATTCCTAATCCTATAAAAATATTGCAAAGAATAAAAGAATCATCATAATCATCAAATAATATTAATAAAACCATTATATATTTTTATATTAATAATTACCTTTAAAATCAGTAAGAGACATTATTGTATTATTAGGAGATGATTTTATATTAATAATATGTAATTGATCATATTGTATACCATCAAAAAATTGATATGGTGTAGAAGCATCAGGAAATAATGATTTTCTAAAATCAACATTGTGTAAATAATCTAATAATATAATAATAAATACCTAATAATATAATAATAATAATAATCTAATAATATAACTATCTATAATAAAACAATAAATACCAGTAATAATATAAATCAATGCTATATTTGATATTTTGAATAAAATATTTATAAATCAAAATTAAATACTTACGAGTTATTTATATCAATAAGATCAATTGTTTTTTCTCCTTCCATAACTACTTTTTTTGTTTTTGTATCAGCTCTTACTTTGGAAAATCCACTTCGAAATTCTTTCATAATATTTGAGGTTAAATGAATATCTCGAACATTCATGAATTTCAAACATGGTAAAATAATAAATTTTTCATTAAATAAAATCACATTTTTTGTTAAAGAATGTGTTACGGATTGTAAAATGAATGAAATCATTTTTTTGTATAAAATATGTAGTATATACAAAATATATTATCTATTTAAAAAAATTAAAAAAAAATTAGGAATAATATCCAAATTATTGAAATAGCATATAGTGCATTTTGCAGTTTTATAAATATAATCTTTCAAAACTAAACTAAATCACACAAATTTATTTTAGATATAAAATACAAGACATGAAAATAAATTGGACAACAAATGATGAAAATGATATAGGAGCAAGAGAACCGTTCGTATCACTCATTCGTCATCAATCGTTTCTATTCGATCTTATTTTTATTTCTAGATATAATATTTTCTATCAATATGTATTTATTTTTATGAACGTATTTTATCAATCTGTTGAAATCAACTAAATAAGTTTCTTATTTCTTTCGACCATCAATTTATTAGCAATATTAATTTTTATATTTATATAATTTCAGTTTTAATAGTCTGATAGTTACATGATACTTTCGTATCTATAATATAACAAGTACACGGTTTTAAAATTCAAATGTTTTTATACAATCGTTAATAGGAAAATCTTTGTTCATTTTATACTATTGTTGTAAAATGATCGAAATATTTAATATTTAAAATATTTTCTTTATAACATTATTACTACAATTAATATTATCTATAATATTTTATATAAAATAGTTAATTTTACATTAATGTAATGGCCATAAGTGCGTCTTTTTATCGTAATGTACTCTTATTAACTCAAGTAATTCAACCTAATAATGAGTTCAAAAAATATTTTCGTGAGGTATATTTTTTTACTAAATATTAAATAAAATATTAAATACGCTTGAAATATGTTTAAACATATTATATTACTTTTTATAATTTTTGCATTGATTAAATAATATTCTAATTTTTAGGGTATGTTTGACAAACCTAATACAGCAGGTTTCCTACATATTTCATATTATTTATTAACAGTATATGATTCAGAACGTTTTAAAAAACTGATTGAATGGCCTGTAATTTGCAAGAAAACTGAAGCAAAGTATCGTAATAATGTTAAGGATTATTTAACAATAATATCTGCAGAAAATCCTGATATTGATTTTCCACCTATACTCACCTCTCACTTAATTCATGCAGGTGGAACTAAATTTACAATTATTATGTGGAAATTATCAGAAGTAGTTATAAGAAGATACCTTATAAGGGAAAGTAAGATTATTATTTATAAGTATATTATTTACTTATATATATATAATAGAAATTACTTTCATAATATATTTATCATTATTTATCATTATCATAAAATTGATTTAAATTGTATTATTATATATTTACTATAAATTTCTTATATTTATATAAATATTTTGTTTTTTTACTAAAAAATTTTATTTTCTATAGCTAGTAATAATATTGCATTTGCACCACGAATAGGAAATAAAGGAAATCTAGCAAAAAAATTTTTAGAAGAAACCAATGCTAAGATTAATTTTAATATATTGAATCAACATAAAAATTTATTAGAAATGGAGAATACAATTAAATATGTTTTGCAGTAATATTTATTTTCTTTTTATTTATATATATATAATTAAAAATTCTTTTTCAATTAAAATATTAATTATATTACTTTATTTTTTAGAAAAGAAAATGAAAGACTAAATAAAAGTAGAACAGAAATTTTTGAAAAAGAACAATTAATAGCAAATCTTCCACAAACAGCACCAGTACATCCTTCAATTAAAAAATGTTTAAGAGATATAGATAATGAAGAAGCAACAAAAAGTTGGTATCATATTTATTATACTTAATATTATATATTTATTTATAATTAGTATTATTTGTAATTTTAGTCATCAAAATAATAATTTATTAATTTTAGAATGGAAAATGCATATAAATAAATGCATAAATCATATACAAAAGAGAAATATAATTTTGAAAGATATTGAACAGCTTAGTCATAAAGTTAATAATATAATATTAAGTAATACTAGCGATATTAAAATGTTAAATACAAAACAAAAAATAAATCATTTGGAAATTTCAGAATTATTTTCTCCAGATATGCAAGTAAGTATTATAATGTATATGTTATTATATATATTAATGAGAAGTAATAAAAATAAAAATTTTATATTTCAGTGTGTTTTATTTCGATTATATAAAGATGATAAATTAATATTAAATAATTTTATATTATTATTTCATTTTCTTCTAACTCAACTAAAAAAACAATTAAAATTGAATATATTAGAGGATTTTTCAGAATATTCATTACAAATAGAAGATAGTTGTAAAGATATAAAAGCTGCATTCAATATAATGCAAACACATTTAATAGATATCACAAAAATAATGTTAGAAACACAAGATATTTTATATCAAAAAAAAATATATGTTCATAATGATACTATATTACCTATGATGCATAATGTACTTATTATGTCATCTCCTCTTATTAAAATTAATACAAACTGTAATGATGAAGAAAATAATTTTCAAAAAAGATTACAATTAACTCCAGTAGAAGGTAAGATTAATGCTATTTAAAATTGCTATATATATAATATATTCAAAAATATTTTTTAGCTCCACATAAATCATTATTTTCAAGATATGAACATCTAAAACAAAGTCATGTATCACATGGATCAAAATTAAGAGAAAATTTATTAGTATCACGAATCAATTTTGATGATGTAATTGTAAATATAAATAATGATAATAATGATAAGCCATCTTTACATATGCATATGGTATCATCTAAAAAAAATTTGTCATCTTTCAAACAAGCAGAAAAATATTCAAGATTATTTTCTACTCGTATAAAACGAAATACAATAGGTATGTAACGAATATTTTAATTTTTTTTAAAATTGAAAACTTCTCTTTTTTCTCACAGCAGCAGTAGCAAATGCAAGTATAATGTCTTTATCTTGTTCTTCAAAAGCAAATTCGACTACAATTGCAAATGCAATTGAAGAAGTACATGATATATCAGATCTTAGTTTAAATAAAACAGAAGTTATTTCAACAAAAAGTATCTGTAATATAAAGGTAGAATTTGCTACTCCAGAAAAATTGACTGTTGAACAAGAAAAATCAGAAGATATACTAAAAATGGAAGATATGATAAATGATTTCTCAAATAAAGCTGATGCACATAATATATACAAAACAATAGAAATTAAAAGTGATGATAATAATATCATTGTAACTGACCAAACTAAACAAAATAGACGTTCTATTGGGGATCTAGTTGAACGTTATAAAAAATTACTGAAAGTAAGCAATCGTATACCAAGTCCTAATATTAATAATACAAAATGTGATAATAAATAGTTGTAAAAATTAAAAACTATTGTAGAATTATATTGTAGAATTGTCTATTTACCAATATGTATGTAAAGAAATACATTTTTATAGTTTATTTAAAACAAAATTTAATTATTTTTTTATCTTACTAAATTTTTAAAAAATATGTATAATTTATTAAAAAATTAAGTTAAAAAAAAAAATTGTAATAATTTATTATAGTGATACATTTCATAATCATTAACATTTATGTTAAAAAAAAATTTGTATTTATTTTTTATAATTTAAATTAAAAAATTAACTTTTTAAAAAAATATACATTATATGTATATGCATGAAAGAACAGATCATTCGCATAAGATTTATATTTTGAAAAAATTGATTTTAAAATTTATTATATGCACAATATTTATATTTACATAATTAAAATGTAATTTTTTTAAATAATATTATCTATAATATTTTAACATTATTATACGTATATATATATTATATTTTTATATTTTACTATGACAATATTATATTTATAATATAATAATTTCTTAAACTATATAAAATAAATGATATTTTGCGTAAGTAAAAAAAATTATTTAAAAAGTGCAATATTACATAATTATTACATATATCATAATAATTTTAATATGTTCATAGAAATTCACCAAAATATATTGCCGGTAGTAGAATATGTATATGTTGTGTTTGTATTTTAATTTAAGGTTATACTACTTAACAAAGTGTTATGTTCAAATGAAATAAAAATTCCAATTAAATATTAGTATATTTAATTATGGAAAATAATCATTGAATTGACAAAATTTTAATAAACTAAACATTATGAAACTAGTAAAACCTAATTGGGTTACTCACGATGGTTTGTATAAAATGTATTATTTAAATTTATCTAATGTTTATAATTGTATTTTCATATTCTAAAATTTTTATTTTTTAGGATATTCAATCTTTTCCGTGGATATACATCCAGATGGGAAAAGATTTGCTACTGGTGGTCAAGGTATAATATTAATTCCTTTAATTTATTTATTTATTGTTAATTTTTTTATAAAAAAACATTAATTTTGTTATTTTGATATAGTTTTTGATTTATATTTGCTATTATTATTAATTATAGGTGGTGATTCCGGTAGAGTTGTTATATGGAATATGGAACCAGTAGTTAATGAAATTGCAGAATTAGATGAAAATATTCCAAAAATGTTATGTCAATTAGATAACCATCTTGGTATGATACATGATAAAATTTAATATATTTTCTAAAATATATTATATTGATAAACTAAATAATATATAATATAAAATTTATAGCTTGTGTCAATTGTGTAAGATGGAGTAATACTGGATTATTAGCATCAGGTGGTGTAGATAAATTAATTATGATCTGGAGATTGTCAGGTGGATCAGGTGGAAGTTCAATATTTGGTGGAAAATCCAGTATTGAAACATGGCGTTGCATAGCTACATTACGTTCACATGAAGCTGATGTACTTGATCTTGCATGGGCACCACATAGTCCATGGTTAGCTTCTGCATCAGTAGATAACAGTGTAATCGTATGGGATGCATCAAAATTTCCAGCTATTGTAGCTGTTTTAAAAGGTCATACTGGATTTGTAAAAGGAATTACATGGGATCCAGTAGGAAAATATTTAGCATCTCAATCTGATGATAAAACATTAAGAGTATGGCGTACTACAGATTGGACAGAAGCTGCACTAATATCAGAACCATTTGATGAATGCGGTGGAACAACTCATGTTTTAAGACTTTCTTGGAGTCCAGATGGACAATATTTAGTATCAGCTCATGCGATGAATGGTGGAGGTCCAACAGCACAAATAATTGAAAGAGATGGATGGACACAAGATAAAGATTTTGTTGGTCATCGTAAAGCTGTCACATGTGTGGTATATATTTAATCTAAAAACAGTAAATTTTATAATTTATATATTTAAAATTATTAAATATTTAATTCATTAATTCTTTATATGCTGCAGAGATTTAATGGTAATATTTTACAAAAGAAGCAACCTGGTTCTTCTAAACCACAACAGTATTGTTGCGTCGCTATAGGATCACGTGATCGTTCTTTATCTGTATGGTTAACATCTCTGAAACGGCCTTTAGTTGTAATTCATGAATTATTTACACACTCAGTCTTAGATGCTAGTTGGTCACCATGTGGTCTTCGATTAGCTGCTTGTTCTTGGGATGGATCTGTTGTACTTATTGAATTTACACAACAAGAATTAGGTCAACCATTAGATCCTGCTGAACAAGTATTATATATAAAATTATACAAAATATTTTAATAACAAATTGTATATTTATTATGAGTATATAATTATTTTTATTTTATTATAGAGTAGTCTTCATGAACGTTTATATGGTAAACCATTAGTTCAAGGTGGTTGCACAGTAATGGAAGCACCTGAACTTCTTAATCTAAAAACATCGGTACCGTCGACACAAACTACAACACTTTTAAATACAAATTTAGTACATCCACCCACTACTACTGCAACTACTCCTGCCAAAGGTCCAATTAATAAGCAAATTGAAACAAGAACATCAGATGGTAAAAGACGAATAACACCAATGTTTATACCACCACCATCTGATACAATGTAAGTTAGAGATTTTATTTTTACAATATTATAATTTCTTGTATGTATTTTTTTATTAAATTAATTATTTTTAATTAGGGATTCTTCAAGTAATAGATTAAGAACGCCAACATTTACAAGTCAAGTAAAAAGTTCTATTGTTATTGAAAAACGAAATGATGTTGTGACACCCAATGTTACTTCTTCTGTACATTCAACGAATATAAATAGCCAAACTTCTGCACTTACATTGAAACGTCGTGATCAGTCCACACCAAAATCATATCATACTTCATTTAACAAAAAACCAAAAATTACATCTGAAAGAAATACAAATCAAATTATACTGCCTCCATTAAAACCGTCCAGTTCATTATCTCAACAAGCTGGTCATTATGCAGTAACTGTTACTAATAGCCAAGGTTTAGCTCATTTACAAGTATTTAAAGGCACAGATTCTGAACCAACTTGGGATTTGTATTTGGGATATAGTGCTGTAGCGCTTGCAGCATCACCGGCAGTTATAGCACTTGGATTAGAAGATGGTAGTCTGCATACATTTCATCCTATAAAAGGATGCCGTCCAGCACCACCTTTAGCGCCACCTGCACCACTTGCAAAAGTTCATGCAGTTGGAAATGCAGTATTAATTTTTTAATTATTATTTTTATTTTTTTAATTTAAAGATAATTATTATTCAAAATGTATCAACATTTTTAGGTAATGGTTATATCAAGTTGTGGTGCTGTACGTGTTTGGGAAATAGGATATTCATGTAGAATGATAGTTTCTACATCTGCTGCACATTTAGCAGTACCTGGTACTTCTTTATTATCCTGTACTTTATATAATGGAATGCCACATTTAGCTTTCACTAATGCTAGGGCATATATATATCATAAAGAAATGGGTATATAAATTATATTAATTATATTAATAAAATCATATATTTTATAAATCATACATTATATATAATATATTTATAAAAAAATATTAGGTACATGGTTACTAATCGGCGATAGTCAAGATCCTATATGGCGTTGGGCTTCATTTAATGCATCAAGTGCATCGGGAAACAGAGCTCCCAAAGGTCCATTATCTTCCTTACAAGAAGGACTATTTAGAACAGCAGGAAATACTTTCCCTAATCCGAGATTACCACATAGTGCTCCAAGCGTAGTATCTTATTTAGAACAACAATTACTTGCTTCTAAGGCTCTTGGAAGTGCTCAAGAATATATGCATTGGCTCATGGCTTTAGTATCATTTTTATTAACTCAAGGTATAGATATAATAGGTATAGATATATTTTTAATTTTATCTTCATATTTTATAAAATAATATTTTTTTAGATGGATTGGAAAAACGTTTGAGATTAATCCTAGATGAATTTTTGGGTCCAAGTCATACATCAGCTTCTAAAAGTATATGGGATCCTTTAATTTTGGTATTATTTTAATATTTATTCTATTAATATATTATTATTAATTATATAAATATAATATCAATATTTTTCTATTCATTATATAGGGAATTAAAAAACATAAACTTTTGGAAGATATATTATCTATTATTGGAGGACATCTTCGTTGGCAAAGATTATATCTTGAATATATGGAACAATTAACAGCGCTAAAAAACCAAATTAATTAAAAACAATTATTAAAAATATATATTTAAAATAATATATAAAACATAATGTGATTATTATATGTTCTAAAACGGTGTTAGAAAACTTGAGAACATAATTATATTTATAATAAAAAAAATTATGATGGTAAGTTCATAAATTTCTTACTTCAAATTAAATAACAATTAAATAATATGATCATTTCCGATTTTAATAATAATAACATAAGTATACAAGTAAATAGCGATTCGATTTCATATTTCATCATTTTTTATTATCATTTTAATTTAAATATTACAATACATTACTACAAATAAGTATACAAATATATATATACAAATAAGTATATTTTAAAAGCAAGAAATTTATGAATTCATAATTATAAAAACTGCCTTATTTATTTTAAATTTTGAAATCGCGCTCAGGTTTTCAAGTGCCCTTTTAGGATTAACATTTATATTTCTTGTATATTTTTAAAAATAATCTTTATAAAACAAAAATATTGTACAGTTTTTTTTATATCGTACACAATGTGATGATGAAAATACGTATATAATAATAATAGTGAGATTTTATATTAAACAAATGATCTTTTTTTATTTTGAAGCTTAATAACATTTATTATTAAGCAAAAATTTAAGTACTTGTTTTTACTAGAAAAATTTCTAATATTTGTACGTAATATTATGTATAAGAGTAAAAAGATACAAGATATTAGTTGATTAGAAATTTTAACAATTTTATATCACCTTTATATAATACATTTTAAACAAATCAAGAATCAGACAATATATATAACGATTATTAAATTTTAATATTAACATGAAAATATTTTCCTTATTTAGATTATAATTATATTTGTTCATAAAAAATACTTATAC